TCCGAGACAAAATAATTTACTTGCGAGTGCGTTGTACTGTACCGTATATCCGTGTGACTTTCGGAGATTTTTTTGGCAAATATTCAAAATGAAAATACAAACTTTTACGATGCCTATAAATTTCTCAGTCATTTCACTTTTTCTCTCTTCCATCTATATGCACTTACAGCGATTTAAACTTGACACGAATAGTTAGCAAGCCATCGACAAAAAAATTTTAGGTTATCTCAGAACTCGGATTTCGAAGAGCCAAATTTGACGCAGCATGGAATTGCTCATTGCTGGAAACATCGAATTCATTACATTTTATTATAATAACGACAACAATAATAGCAATACATCTCAAATATAAAATAACTTGTCACACAAGGACTCTATAGCGAATTGAAATTAAAAAAAAAAAAAAAAAAAAAAAAAAAAAAAAAAAAAAAAAAAAAAAAAAATTGATAGCAACAGATCAAAAGCAGCGTACGACGCTCGTGGCAGCAGCAAATTTAATCCGTCGGCGAAAAATCGCTCCCGAAGCTCCGTACGCCCTTTAACTCTCTCTTTCTCTGCTCTCTTATATACAGTTTTTCTCTCTAGCTTTGCGAGTTTATAATGCCACCCCTATTACACGTTGTACAGCTACCGCGTACTAGTCCATGAAGCCCCAGAGTGTAGGAGTAATCCACAAACGTCCTCGAACGTCAACCGCAAATCCGCAATTCTTTTTCATTCGTATATACGTTTTCTCCTCTCTCTCTCTCTCTCTCACTCTCTGTGCCCCGTGACGTTTCTTTTTCTCTGTTTTACGCTACTTATATACCTTGTACGATCCGTTTTCGTTACAATGGACTCGAGCTTGCTGTTGTTGTTTGAATTATGTCGCCTTTGCGAGGTGGCCTTTAATCATTTGAATGCTTACTTTCAAAAAAAAAAAAAAGGAAAAATCAAACACAAATTACGCCTAATTTACGCACAGTAGACTTTACAATTCGATGAGTCAAACCAAACGATGCTCAACCCACGAACGGTACAACCTAGAGCAACAATCGATAAACCAGTAGCCACCATGTAGGCCGTCATTAGTAATGGGCCATCGCGGTGATAGTCGTAATTCGTCGATTGTACCGTTACCATTCCGATGATGCGAGGTTAATTGTTCGATTTGATCTCCGATGATAAAACGCATCGCAGCCTCTCGCTCCAGCCACGATCATAACATTAATCGTCGAATCAATGACTCGACACAGACCCAAGGCTTGAAATTTAACGATCGCTGTCGTTTGATCGGCTTTCACGGGATATTCTGAAAGAAAGGCGGATCTAAAAAATTAGTTTTCTTTAACCTCCACCTCGAGTCGCGCTCCAACCGCGTTGCCAGCGTCGAATGATAGAGTTTTACACGCGCCCCGAGCAGCTCGAATTCGATTCCCAGCAAGCCAAGTGTAGGCCGTAGGCAGAGGTCGGTAAAGTCGAGCGCGTCGAATTGACAGAGCGAGAGGGGATCGAACGTGGCATTGGGTTACAATGGAAGTGTGCAGCGGAATCTAAACGACTGTGGACCTCTTTCTCCGCGGGCCGTACGGTGGAAAAGCCCAATTTATCGGCCGCACGCGGAGCAGATTCGCGCCCGACCGCGACGGACAACCGAGCTCTCTTGTCATCATCACGGGCCATCTGCTTTTAATTAGAAAGCTCGAGTGGGGTGTTTCCCTCCCACGAGATACGAATCGCTCGAAGCCGATCGGCTGTTTGGTTTTACGCGCCGAAATCTCTTGGAGGTCTCACGTTGGACGGGGAATTGGAAGATCCGTCTCCCCAGCTGTCTCACGAGGTTAATGGCTCGAGTGGATTTTGGGAAGTACGGTTCGGGCAACTGTTGAGGTGTAATGTGGGCAGTTTAGGGCTGGGAGCTTGCGGAGGACTCGCAATGTGTAGGTAAAGTGGAAGAACCAAAATTTCAATTAAAAAGATGTGAAAGAATGTGATTAAGGTGGTTTGGACATTTGGTACCATACCAAACGAGGGGCCCTTTACGGTTCTATGGATTGTGGAAAGTATTTTCTGTTCATTGTCATGATAATTGAATATCTAAACCACATATTCGAATTTTAGAGTTATATTGGCCTAAAAAGTTATAAAATATTGATAAAAAAAATAATCAAAACTCATTATTTTAATCTGCACATGCGCAGAACATGATAAATCACTTTTTTCTTCATTTTCTAAAAATCTAAGTGGTTTACATATAATTTAAGTTGGTAAGTTTTCAGAAGCGATTTTCTGAAAAATAAAGTAGTTGACCCTAGTATTTTTTTATCGCAAATGAATTTGGCACACTTTATTAACATAATTTCAAAATCTTAGAGATTTTTATCTTTCCAGTAAAAATCGCCCAAGCCACCTTAATGTACTTTAGATACGGTAAAGTTACTTTTTTTACGAACAAAAAATTTTTAAGGATGTATAATAATAAATCTATTATAATAAATAAATCTTGTATCTACTAGAAGTAGACATTATAACATCGCAAAATGATCAGTAGTAATGTCCTCGACTCGTGCAATTTTAGTTAGTAAAGTATGAAATATCATCTCAACTTGAAATTGATCCATGAATAACTACTCTATGTATCAACGACAACGAGCGTTCCAACATATTTTATGATGCAAGGCAAAAATCTCTTTCTTTTCCCGATTGAAATTCTTGCAAAGAGCACAATACAAAGTAGAGTAGTTTTATTGGATCGAACAAGGCGATACCATTGCGTATACAGATTGAAAATGTACAAATGAATGGATTTCTTAAGATATTATGAATTAGCGATTCCTGAATGTTTCTCATTTTTACCATGACGCAAGAAATTCCGCAAATGTAACTTTAAAAACTAAGTTTCCATTTATTTGACATAGTGATTGAATTCATGTCTGCAAAGTAGACCCTAAAGTCAATGCAACAAAGGTAAAATGTGTTATTGAAATAGGTTTGTTGTATACAGTATACTTATAAAAATCCGTAATTTAATAATTGTTCCAGAACTCCTGAAATGTTCTTAAATCATGTCTTTAGTAAGTATGTTGATAACGCAGGGCTACACAAAAAATATAAAAAAATGACACAGCATGCACGTTATATTTTTTGGTTTGCTGAGTACGAATTCATAGATCAAATTGCTTCATCACGTCACAATCTTTTACGTTTGTTTGTACAGAGGCTCATTGTTTTGAAGCAGTACCTAATATGATTTGAATATTAATTCCTACAAATACTTACGTTTTCATAAAATTTTTTATTTCATGGTCTTGTGTAATTATTATGAGTTACCTCTCATTATGAATTACATAAAATCTTAAAACGCTTTACCATATCGTGTTAAATATATGAATAATAATAATAATAAGCATGCTGTCAAAAAATTTTTTAGTAAACAGTTTGACTCAAAATAATAGTGCTTCGTCACTAAACTATCGTCATATCTAAGAGAGTATTATCCTGCTGGACACAATTTTAAATCAATTATCCTCAGCTTCGATTCATCTGTAGTTTTAACATATATGCTTGATTTCCTTAAACTGCGTTCAAAGAACTTTGAAAAACTTTACTACTAAATGCTGGAAATTTTACAGGCTATTGAAACTACAATTCCATGAATTCATTCGTTATATGAACCGCGAAATAAACAAAGTATCACGTCATTAAGCGGATACGCAGTGTCTACTAATGCGTCCCAGCGGTTCTAAAAAATTCTGATTGCAGCAGGTGCCTCAAAGGCGGACGATGGAGGAGGGGAGCAAAAAACATTTTAACCCGTTGACGATGTTCTAAAAGGAATATGCTCCAGGAAAAAGCAAAGAGGGATTGAAAAATGTAAAATTACAAAGAGCCGCGTCTTCCTCTGGGAGCGGGTACACTGATCGTTTTAGTTTTAGCATCGTTGGATCTGAAATGAAGAGAGGAAAGGGTATGTATATACACGAGGGGGATAGAAAGGCACGGCTTGTTCGCCCCGAGACCTTGGGGATTTAGTGTTTAATGCCACTTAATCCTTCTTAATTAAATGCCCCAACAGCCGACATTCGCTCGCTGGCTTGCTCCTTCTATCATTTTCTATACGTGTATACATCTTTTTGCTGCAAACCCTTTTGAGCCGTCAGGTTTTCATCCAGGTGCAGATACTCGTTTCCCAAACTCTTTTTTCCCTCTGATCTTTTGGATTTGGAAATATGTATACGTTTTTAGTTTTAAAATCGTTATGGATACTCAGCTAAAGGCAAAACGCAAGCTTGTGTGATTAGCTACTGCAAACAATCGTTTTTTTTACGATTGCCGTTGCAAATATTAGAAGAAAAGAGCATTAGTAATGACGAATTTGTTTAAAGAATGCAGTGAGTCCAATACGTAAAAAAAAACCACAATGAAGGCACGACAGTTCAATCGGAGCGAGTATCTATCACAATTGGTTTTAGTAATGGTTAATCCTAGTATTGTTACTACCATTACTATTTGTTATTTTATATGAATATGATAAGAGTGTAATAAGCTCGATTTTTTTATTGTCAAGTGCACAGTACTCTTATTCCAACGTGCCCTACCCAGCCTAGCAAGAAAATTAAGTTACTCTATAGACTCGCGGCATTCAATCTTTACTACTTATGGTATCCACACTATCCATATCAATAACTTGAAAAGTGTGTATTAATTAAAAACACGTATACATATTACATTTTTGCCTTTTGATAGATGTTATGTTAGACTGATAAGTGTTTGCGATAAACAAAATTATTTGAGAAACATATGATGATGAAAGTCAAGTCTGACATTCAAGTCAGATTTGAAATACATTCAACATTTAAACCTGTACAGTTTTACATAAAAAATCAATGAGGTTGAGTTGTAGCATCATTTTCCAGCATTCAGAGCATAATTATAAAAATGGAGTATTACTTTAGCTAGCAAAAAAATAACATTATTATACTAATATGACGTTACAACATGATAAAAAATTGTGTACTCACTTTAACCAGTGCCTTTTGGTAATCGGCGTGTGACAACAAACTGCGTCATACTGATCGGCGATAAAGACGATCAGCATAATATAAAATGCCGTTGAAGTGTCGTTGAAGAATTCGGACATTATGGCTTCCATACCTGGATTGAAAATTATTTTGTTACTTTTTTTTCAATTTAATACATATTTTTTATTTGAAACTTTCCTACTTCAATAACAAGATTTTATTACAAATGGAACATTAACAATAATTATATCAGCACACATTACCGCAAAATTGTTTATTTAATGGTATGATATTTTTTTGGAAATACCATTGTTACATAAAAACTAAAATTGTTTTTGATAATTAATTAATTATTGAACATGAAAAAACAACAAGTATATTATTGTCACTAATCCCCAAAAACATGTTTAATCTACTTATCAATACATTTTATTGTAAACCACTCGAATAATAAAAAAATCTTTACTTATGTACTTTTCAATAATAACGAATTTTAATAGCGTGAACAGAATATAATTCCCATGCGAACACAAATACTCAAACGTGTGATTTCTATTAAATATGAGAAAAGAAGCATATGAAGAAGGAAAAAATAATGTGCATTGTTTATGTACATTAGTCTAGATGGCACATACAAAAAAATGTACGATGCCTCAGTAATCCACGAAGTTCATTAGTGCTACTTGTAAATTGTGCATGAAAAGTGCGCAGTAGCTCAGGTGTCCATTTTCATCACATTTAATCTTCTTTGTTTCTTCAAACATCCGAAAACCCACTCTCAATTCAGTGGCAAAAATAAATTTTTTCCTAAACCTGCACCCCTTGGACTATTAATCCGCAAAAATTGTATGCATTCGAAATGGCATCGTATAAAAGCACACGCCAATAATCCTAACACGTCATTTCACACGCAAGTATAGGTATCGAAGTAGGTGAAGGCAATGTAAGAGAAACAATGAAGGGGGAAAAAAAGCTGACGGACCAGAAATCATGTGAACTGTGCTCGGCTGACGACATTTACCAGCCGTTTCGTCGTGCCAGGGCTGTAGTTTACGCGTAATTAAGCCAACGATGCGCGACGCTCCCACCCTCCCTCTCTCGTGCAGCTCATTCGACATAAAACGCCCAGTAAAAGTCAATGAGCGCTGAGTAAGTAATTTTCTATTAAAAAATAAAAAATAAATATTTAGTATTTTTACTTTTTCTAGGTTCTGTTTGATTATAAAAAAAAAAAGTTTTAACACACAGTTCCAAAGCAATGATTATAACGATTATTATAATTTATCCAAGAGAATTTTTTTATGCTACAATACCCCATTTCTAAGTCATTATCATTACAATCATTTTGTCAAAATTCATGAAGAGTATTTAGCGCAACAGATATTATCATCGTCATTTTATGTTCAAGTTATTTAGTGGAATTTATAAACTGTTAAAATATTTTATTTTACAAAGCAATCTTTATTACAATAATCCGATTCCCAAGAAAGATTTTGATCGGAAAGTCTAAAAGATCCGTTCGAAGGCAAAATAAAATAAAATTAAAATACACCATTTTACTTTCACAAGATTAGTTATAACAAAAAAATTAGTTACATAATAACTATGGTAATGATGATATCTTTCATTATCTGAATCATATCGTTATGATTCTCATCCTAAAATTAATGATATCGCACAAATACAATCACACCAAACGACCTCTGGGCAAGTAACCCTTTTTTTGAAATTTGTAATTCAAAATTACAAGCATGTACCTAAGTAATATTAAAGGTGGAAAATTCACTTTCCCTTGCACCTCTTTTTTCGCTCTTTTTTTCAGCTCGACACCAGCGTGGCTTCGCACGAAAAATCTTGTATTAAAAAAAAAAAAAAAAAAAAAAAAAAAAAAAAAAAAANAAAAAAAAAAAAACGGAACTGCTTTCTGGACTCGATAGGAAGGAATTTGCTCTGTTCTATAACGACGATGACGATAACGCAAGTGGTGATAATCTATTTTTCTTAATTACAGATAATTGAATTTTCCAAACGTGCCGCGTTAAGAAGGAGCGCTAATGGGCACTACAGACGTATGATAAGTATCTGTAATTGCTGAGATGGAAAAAAAGATGAAAGTAATGTGATGATAAGAAAAAAGGATGCATATTTCATGAGAGGCAGGTAGATGTCCAAGGATATGGAAAGACCTACAGCAACTTTTATGTAGAAGAAGCATTATAATGACTTTTTACTGGAAGAAGTTAAGTGTAAAACTACGTTTTAAGTTAAAAAAATTATTTACCAAGTTTATAGGAGTTTTTCGGTACTTATTGACCAATTAAGCTTTCCAGTACTATTTTTTCTTTTAAAAAATTATGCTCCAAAAATACTTGGAAGCTTCGGTTGGCAATATTTTGTTATAAATGTTAAAAGGTTTTTTTTAGGTGCAAATTCACAATAAAATAAAATTTTGAACTTATTAAGAGCGTGCCACGACTCCGTGAGTAATATTATACAAAACAAGAATTACGAGATAAAATTAACTTACTCAAGCCATCAAGTGATTATATTATTAAGTACTTGTTTTTATCCAATATTATGACAAAATTCGTATTTTTAAAATCATTATATCTTTTGAAAAATTAACCAAATGACAAAATAAAATAATCCCAGATTTCACCGTGAAGTGACGACGAGAAAAACTGTACAATAAAAAATAATGTGCAAGAAAAATGACACGCCAAACGTGACACAGCGGAAAAACATCTAATTTAAAAATTTAATTTCTCCGTCCATTAGAACCCACACGTGTCATATTCATTTGATATTTGCAGAAAAAAAATGTATTATACATAGCGCATCGCATCAACGCGAGCTTATCATACAGATCAATACCAAAATCTCTTTGCTCGTGAAAAAAAAAAAAAAGCTTCAGAGGCGTTCTTTTCTATTATTTCCATTCTCTTTGTCGTGGACACGGCTCAACCCGGTTTTCCTCATCGCATTATAATAATAACGCGAGCGAGCAAGCAGGACAGAGTTCGCGAGTGGGTGATGGTGTTGGGCGCACCTCTGCCGCGTATATCCACGGCGCACGTAGTACGTGTATTATTCTTTTATTATTCCAAGCATATGACTTTCTCTCTCTCTCTCTCTCTCTCTTCCGTTCCACCCATGGTTTCCATTACAATTACCCGTCGCATACGTATGTGTACGTACACCTAATGCTACATCTATGTAGGCGCCGACTTTTCTTTATTTTTATTATTTCTCTAGCATTAACTCTAGTTTTTTTTTCTTCCTGCTAGTCAAGCCTATGTATTATCTCGCTCTTTTTTTTTCCTCTCATCGTACCTCTCATTCGTTTTCTGCATCAGCTCCTTTTATTTTCACCTTTGCCCTCGCACTAACTTGTGTTACGCCATCGAGGATGAACATTATTGGTGCGTAGTCGTAGAATGATGAGGATACGGTAGCGATTCGTCGTCAAGTTTTAAGTCACGGTTCAAGGAAAGACGATCTGCTTTTTAGAACTTGTAAAAGACAGGAAAAAGAGTGAGGAGTAAACAATTTACCTAAAAGTTTTTCTAATGCCTAAGAATATCGAATTACTTTTTATAGTATTTTTTATTTTTAAATTTCACAAATTACTTATTTTTCTTCAAACCAGTTGCCATTTTCTTTTTTCAAAACAAGTTATATAACTGTCGTTTTTTTTTCAAGGAAAGTCAAAAAGGGATGTTATATTCAACAAAGATGTTTCCCTTTTTTTATTTCAAGAAAATAAGTTAGGGGGAGACTGGGTACGGTTGTGACAGTGATCATATTGGCAAAACTGTAAGAGAGAACTGCCAAATACAAGAAAGGGAAGGAGTGGAGTGCTGGGCCACTTGTGCTTCACAGTATAGCATCAGCTGTCGTGTGATATCAACGACAGCAGAGGTCTACATTACTTTTGGGGAGTAATAAGATACACATTAGTGCATAAAAGGCAGTAGTTACTTTTCATGCAAGCTATGTTGTGTTTACATGGTAACTTTTTTTTTCCAAATGAGTGCGGTGGGTATGGTTGTGACATATACTGCCAAGGTACGATTGTGACACAAGTAAAATTAGTTTTTTTCTTTTCAGATGCCTCGTGAACACTCCAGGAGAACAGAAAGAGGTACGTGTAATGTTAAAAGGCATACAATGATACAAAGCAGGGGATTTCTGTACGAAAAGCTGCAGAAATGTACCAAGTAAATCACATGACATTATTGCGATACGCTCGTAAACGTGATGCAGCCAATGCCAACGGCAATTAACCGAGGTAGCGTCAGTATAGGTTGCGTTGTTTACAACAAAGTTTTTTCTAAGGAGCAGGAACAGCGGTTGTCAAAATACCTATTACGTTGCGCGGATATATACTTTGGGTATGTAATATTTATAATAATAAATTATACTGTTCAAAAGTAGATGTAAGACATAAAGTATTCCAAATTTGATGCCTTTAATTAAAAATTAATGTTGAATTTTCCAAAAGAAGGTGCTGTTATGTTCAACATAAGATACAATAAAAGTAATTTAAAACGGTTTTAATGTATTTTTTTAACTGGTCACAATCGTCCTCTGGCATTGTCACAATCGCCCCTGGGGTGTGGTCAGTTGTGACACATTTTTTTTTTTTCTAACAGCTTGTACGTGTAAACGGCTGTATCTGCAGTCATAATTTTTGTACACACGTGTAGAGGAGTCTTCAATTTATCATACCTAGCAATTTTTATTCTACTGAGTATCATACTTTAAAATTTACGGGCTCTCAAGTAAAAATTGGCACAACCATACCAAGTCTTCTCCCCTACATTTGAATAACCATTTTTTTTTAATTCAAGATATGATCGTTAATTTATGATTTCAAATTGACCAAAGAAAAAGAATCCACTTTTGGGTTTAAAAAAAATAAAAGAAAAAAAATGAAGCATCTTAGTCAAACATAACCTCTCTCTTTCCTGTTTTTCTAACCCCGTAATTATCCAGTAATTTATAATGATTGACAGTTTACTTTCTTCTTTAAGGTTATACGTTGAAATGACTAAAGTTATATGAATATCGTATGCTTAGTGTATGGTAAGGATTATTAATAATATTACCACTTGTTACTAATTTGGTTGC